GCCTTTATTCACCCAAATGGGTTGCTGCCACAAAAACATGATGATGACTTAGTTATCAAATGGACTGTGAATAAAGCACTTGAGAAAGAAGGATAATCCTATGTCAACAATCAGCATTATCTTCTGCAATATTGTTGCCATGATGTGCAGCTCTTGGTTTTTGTGTTTGAACTTCTGGATCCTGCTTGCCATAGGGGACAAGCAGAAGTCAGGGAATGCTTACACTCAGAGCCTACTGATGAAAAGCTATGTCTCAGGATTCCTGTGCGATGTTCTAACTCCATGAAGATGCTCCCTGTGTGTCTGTACAGTGATACAACCAAGGCCCTGATCCAGATTATGTCTCAGAATGGAACCTTTACTTTTGTTTCATGAAAGAGTATATTCTAACCCTCATTTTAGGGCAAACATCACATCACTGCATGTCTTTCAAGAGTTTCATCATAAATAAAAATGACTCACTTGTTGTACTTTTTAACCCATTGAGTTTTGCAGGCTGGATTGTCATTGCAGCTGATACCAGGAAGGTCACTATTATCACATATGTCAGGAGAATCTCTGGCACTATGAATGAAGCAGAGGGGCCTGAGGGAAAGAAGAAATACATAAGAATTTAAAGCCTAAGGAAGTTCTTTTGCCTGACAAATATCACATGTTTATATTGCAATCACCTCTTGTGTCTATGTGTTTAAGACACACAAGCCACGGGAACACAGAGTAAAACTTTGTTCCCTGCTTTGCTGTATCACCCTACATCTCAGGCAAGAAAGTGCTGATCAGGCCTTCTAGTGTGGTGGGGAAGTAGCGTCCCTACATTTCCAATCTGGCTAGCAGCAGGAGGAGCAGTAGGAGCTCTGATCAGTTACAGAAACCCTAGTTGCAAATGTTTGTCATGTGAATGTGTCCCAGACATATTGATTATGTTTGCCTATCAGAGAAGCTCAGAACTGGACTGCAAACTAAATAGGTGCTCCATATAAGCATCTGTAAGGGTCCTGCTTTGGGCATCTATACAGTTTGAACTCAGAATCTTGAAGTTAAAACGAGAAGATTTATGGTCCAGATTCTCAAGACTATGTAGGTGCCTAACTCCTACTGAAATGAATACAAGTTAGGTATCTAAAATGAAATTGTGTACCTAAGAACGTTTGAGGGTCCAGAGCTAAGACCTTTACTAGAAAACAGTATCAGACTCATAAACCACTTACATGGGTGAGACTACAGGTTGGGAGACAGCCATGCTACCCTCTCTCCTAATATGAGTTACAGGTTATGATCTCACAGTTTCTCCCCTATACCTCCTCAATTTTGACACTGATAGCTTGATTTCCCTCTGTCCTGGTCAGCTCTGACCTTTGTTCCTTAATGTTCAGATGTAGGTTTCTTCTCTATCTCAGGCTCATTCATTTTGTTTCATTCCTTGCCTTGACCTTTAAAGCATGTAATACTTTAATTACTCTTAAGGCCCAAGTGATTTGTTTGAATTGTAAGCCCTTTGGGGCAGGGCTCATCTTTATGTTCTGTTTGTATGGGCTAGAACACCAGGATTCTGTGCTACGACTGAGCTTCTAGGCATTATCACAGCAGAAATAATAAATAGCTTCTACCTTCTTCTCCCATCCAGAGGAGTGCAGCAGTGAATGCCAGGGTAGACGAGACACACAGCAGCCCATGAGTGTAGGCACTAAGCCATCGCCACAGCTCTCCTCCTAGACAAATAGCAAACATGCTATAGTTGGAAGAGCCCTAAGAAGCCTAGTCGGGTCTGTAGCAACATATCAAGAATAAACACTTAGATCTTTTGCTGTTAGCTATAATAAGGTGTTACCAGTAACATGGATTTAGGACTGTTATGGTAGTGTTAGAGTGATGTTGTAGCCATGGTGGAGTTATGTGAGAGGCAAGGAGTTGTTAGGGTGATACCTTTTATTGGATCAGCTGCAGTAAAATGAAGGTCGTCTTCCATTTGAAAGCTTGTCTAAGTCTATAACAGCTAAGCAGTTGGTCCAATAAAAGATATCATCAAAAGAAATCCTGGCTTCATGGGTAAGGATGTAACTTATCTCGATAAGGGTCCCACAGGCACCATCACATTTCTGTAAGGCACTGCCAGGTGATAGGTGTGATCAGATTCATTCCCATACTCACAGGACAGTCCAATCTGAACAGCCCTGTGTCTTCAAGGGCAATTCTGCTCCATGGGGTAGATTTACCTAAGTTAATGGTAATTGATATGATACCCTAGGATTTAAAAGACATGAATTCAGTTCCTCTGTGGCCTGGGACAAATGACTCATGATCTCTATACCACAATTTTATATCTGTCAGATATGGATTTGAATACCTGCCTTACTTCCTGGAGCATTGGAAGATAAATACAGAGATGTCAAGATACTTAGGTGATATGGAAAGTAAATTTAGCTAAGTTATGTACATAGATACATTCTGATATCTGCTGGGGGCTGACTGGGGAATAGGTCAGTACGCTACTTATAAGTGGGGATAATACTCCTTTTGTAAGTATTTACCTATATTGTTTCAATGATAAAAAATCTACTGTGCAACTAAGCCAAAATTTCAAGTTCATTTTTAGGAAAAAAACCCTCTCTTTTCCAGACCATAATTTGATAACTACAGATAAATGCCTCAAACTAGTATTTCCCTTACAACATCCCATAGGAAAATTAAATAACCAAGGAAAGGACCCAAAGGGTTAAACACACTAAAAATACAAAAATAAAAACTGCTCTAACAAGAATCTTGACTTGATATTTTATTGCATGTGCAAAAATACTGGAAATAAAAGTTGAGGCTGAAGGGGGGCAGGCTAAATATCAAATGCTATTTTTATGGCCCTTGTGAAGAGGGAAAAAAAGCAGACTCCATCAGAACAATCCAGTACTTAGCAAATATAATTCCCTCCCTCTGCTGAGCTCTGGGGAAGGACTGACAGAACAAGGAGCAATTGTCTTAAGTTGCAGCAAGGGCAATTTAGGCTAGATATTATGAAAAAAACTCTTTCACAGGGAGGGTAGTAAAGTACAGGAACAGGGGGTTGGACTAGATGACCTCCTCAGACCCCTTGCAGCCCTAATTTCCTATGATTTTATGATTCTGTGATTATAGTACTCAGTGGGTGTGTCTGCACATGATGCTATGTCGTCGTAGTAATGCATTCCCTCAGGATAGCGTGTCGCTATGGCAACGTAGTGCCTAAAAATAACTGGGCGCCAGTGGCATGGCACAGTAAGGGCTGTTACTATGTCATCTTTTAGTACTTTTAAAAGGAAGTACTAAATAATGGCTCAGTAACAACAGCACCTTAGGGGCATGTATAGACATGCTCAGTGAGTCAGTCTACACTAGGATTAAAACGATTCATAGCATTAACATGTTCCTTGACATCTGCTACATGGCAGATGAAGGCAACAAATCATTCTGCCAGTTGTCTCAGGCAGAAAGTATGAGGCAAACATATATGTTTCAACTTGTCTCTCAGAAAGCAGATTTTAGTTATTGTCTCCTCTGTTCCTGACTTTGGTCTTACTACTGATGAACAGAAACAGATCCAGACTGGCCTATTATAGAGACAAGTTTAAAAGGCTTTGCAGCTCCTTTCCCAACAGACATTCCCAGTTCTCTTCAAGCATGGAGCAGGAACAGCATGATTCTTGGATTATGAAATTCTGTCATTTATGTTCCTATGACAGACTCTACATTTAACATTCCCTTTCCTTTAGAAAAAAGACAATCTCGTCTTGTCCAAAAAAGTATTATTTTTTAATTAAAATAAGCCCCTTTTCATTGTTGTGCATACTTTTCATTTTTAGTCCATCATTTTTTTAAATTCCCAAACAACAGCTTGTCCAGGTATTAGAAGAACATGGTGGAGCCATGTATAATACTTATACTACAAGAACTGGCACTCTGGAATCTGAAACTTTATTTTTTTGGTTTCATAGACATTTATACAAAATACAGCCCTGTTGGAATGTGAAAAAAATGTCAAGAGACACCATTTGTCATTTTAATAAAATGTGTTGAAAGAGTTTGGGTGATTTTTAGTTTGAAAACCCAAAAGCCTGAAAACTGAAGAGTCTCTGGGTTTCACTTCATGAAAACTGAACTGTTTTGCCTTTTAACAGCTTTGTTAAAGAGCTGGGTTTTTATGAAAACATGAACATTTTGATAAAGATAATATTCTTGGAAAAATTGTTTTGGCAAAAAAGAAAAAAAATCTTTCTCTGCACTTATTACAATGGAAACTTTTCACTAAATACATAAACAGCAGTAGGAAGGACCACACAGAAAAATAGCTGGAAGCTTAATTTTGCTGTCACTGGATATATTATCTGAGATCTACAAGCACAGATATCTCATACTTACTTATTCTTAGCTTTTCTGATTGACAACATGGAGCAATCAGAGCAAGTCCTGAGACAGCAGCAAATGCCAATGCAGTGACAGCAATTCTCAAAACAACTGGCTGGGGAGGTGAGGTACCTAGGGAATGAATACAAAAGCGATGGGAAAGCGAAAGGAAGAAGAAAATCAGTACAACTCTTTACTCTTTGAAAAACTGAGAAATGCTAGAGAAGTGGGAGCTCTGGAGACTCCATTCACTTTCCTAAAATAAGGTTCATATTCAGCATGCATAGATACGTTAGAGTTTGACATCTGGTGGCCAAACTAGAGACTTCTTCCTACAGGCTCCATTTTGTCATGTGCAACACCCTTCGTCAGTCTCTCTATGGGACACTGACAATCCTGTGGCTGCTGAACTTTTTGTGGTGTCACAGCCCCTTGTGAATTTACAACTGTGCACAGCTAGGATGTTGTCACTAGTATACACCCAAAATATCCCATGCAGCTGATATTAAATGCAGAAGGGGTGGTGCTTGGAGGAGTAGGAGGTTGTACTGCATTCTGTGCGGATTGGGTGTGGGGGTGCAGAGGATAAACTGGGCACATGGAAAAGGGGGACAGTTTTAATATGCCCTGAAAGTTAGGCAAGGCTTAGAGCAGTAGGTGGTGGCCCTTACAACCATCCTTAACTAACTTGCTAATAAAGGGCTAAACTGTGAGCTATTCCATATTTAGTTTTTAGAACAGGGTGTGACTTGTTAGTAGTAGTATTGTACTAGCACTTACAATCCCTAGTCATGTCCTAGGATCCCTTTGTTCTAGAGAAGCATGGGATTTGGTAAGTAGGTCTCAAAGAGTCAATGGAAAATTAGCTAGGCTACTCAGATCAGGGAGCGTCATCTAGGGAATTTAAGAAGAAGAAACACAGTAGAAAATGTGAATGGTAACTATATTCCATATAGAAGAGCACAGGTATTTGGAACCCTTTGTTCTTCTGTGAGAGGAGAGGCACAATGCTGTCCAAGACAGGAACTACGCCAGCAAGGAGTTCAGGCTGACATGTATACCACAGCCACTGAGATTAAGCTTCACAATATTATTCATGCTGATGTAAATATACCTGCAATGGCCCAGTTCAGGGTGGTTTCCTGCCAGCTTATCTCATTGCTCACATTGCAGGAGTAAGAGCCACAATTCAACTTCTGTCCTTCTGAAATGATCAGAATACTATGGTTTTTGGAGAGCTGGAAATCTTGGTCTTCAGGGAGAGGCTTTCCATCCTTCTTCCAATCTATGGTGTCCATTCTGCCCACTGCCACATCACAGAATAACTCACTGGCAGCCTCTTCAGGGACAGTTTTTCTCCTTATATGAGGCTGAGACACAGGCACTAGAAAACATACAGCATACACCGGGTTTCTATAATGCTGGTCTTCTACCAACTTAAAATATTGGAGATAGGGTCACACTTGCAATATAAGTTACATTCTTTAGTTTGTAAAGGTATTGATATATTTTGTTCTAACACTACCACAGAATGTCAGCATAGACATAAGAATGTCATTTCATTGTGTGTTGTGGCAGTGTAGAGGTAGATTGCTAAATCTTGTAAAGGTAGATATATGCACTTCGCAGGGCTAATATCACCCCATGGCACCCTTTAAAGAATCTCAGGACCCCAGTTGAGAATCATTGGTCTAGCAAGGCACTAAAAATTGAAAAATGAAAATGAATTATATATAAAAGTCTTTTTTGATTTGTGGATAATGCAACAATAAATTACTAAGGTGTGAATAATTAAATGCTGTGCTGCCCTACGTATAGGACGAAGTAATTGAAAACAGGCACACACAGCTTACCAAGTAAAACAACATCAGGGCAATGATTCGACAGACATTAAATATCAAGGTCCACCTGTGTTATATAACTTACTCTTTTCATACTGTGATAATTGCTGGGGTCCCTGCTTAGCAAACAGGCTAACTAGCCTGGGGATTTAATTCCTCTCACATCCTACGTGGTTTTGGCAGCTGATCACTTGTGCACCTAATGAAAGTCACTTTCAAAGGGTTTCCTGTGCAAGAGGTGTTAAAGCTGTTTCATGTGCAGCCAGCATGGGGCACTAAGAAATCAATAAACAACATCTTCCTCAAACTTCTTCATCACCCCAAGTAAACACATTGTGTTCAACACAACATCTCACCAACATGTTGCTTCCACTACTCTAACATTCAGAGGCCATGGGCATGTTTACAAAAGGCACTGACTGCACAGTTGTTACTGCGTAGTTATTTAGTAGTTGCATACACATGTATGAAATGACTGTACCGTAACCAGGGTAATTGCACAGTAGTGTCACCAAATGGCTTTTAGGTGACACTGACTGTGCAGTCGCTCATTACTACTATAGAGTAGTGTTGTGTCACACTACTGTACAATAGTAATGAGCTAATGTACAGTCAGCGTCTCATGTAGATGCGGCCCATGAGTAGCTCAGAGCAGCTTCATGCACAGCTTCTAGCATTCAGATACCTTGGAGAACTCTCTTCCTAAGCCTTCTACTGAGCATCTTGGTGCAGACCTACCCCTTTACCTGTTTCTTCTGTGGCTGCCTGAAACAGGAAAATTAATTTTAACTGCTAGTCCCATTCACAGCACTAGATTTAAGCTTCTTGTTCCAATGCAATGTGTATACAATCAAAGAATAAGCC